TTTTTTTTTTTTTAAAAAATTTTTAAATCATTTTTAATTATTCTTTTAATAATTGAATTGGTAACCTGTTAGCAACCTGCAAAAAAAGTCAATTGAACAAATTTAGCAGGTAAGTGTGGTTAATTAGACTTTAATTTAGTTCGTTGTGGGAATTGAGCACTTGACAGTAGTAGATGGACCTATTTCACACACACACACACACACACACACACACACACACACACACACACACACACACACACACACACACACACACGGTATAATAGTATAATTGCACAATATTAATATATTTTACCTAATAATTAATATGATAATTAATAAATTATTTACACAGATATTAGTATAATTAATTAATAATTATTATAGTAATTAAGCTTATAATTATCATTGATAGTACTAATACCCACGTGTTAGCGGCCTAAGTACTGAATGAGAACAAATAGTAGTAATAATGGTATTTTATTAATAAGAAGGTGACCTAATACAACCTAAATGACTATTCCGAGGGCCGATTGACTGCGGTCGGGCAACTCTGTAAATAGCCTATTGATCATTCCAAAAGTCCCCCTCACTGTAGCCGTCGCGGATATTTGTAGCCTTTGGTCGGAGACAAACCTCCGGCCTACCGGCATGTAACCCACGTAACATCCACGCGTCTCCACCCGGCAAGCCTTCTCTGTCAACGCATAACATCACCACGTACCTTTCTCCAACATCTCTATCTCTTTGTAAAGTAAAGGCACGGTAACCGGGTGATAACATCGATCGGGAAGTCTATCGGTCGGGCCCGACCGCCTTGTCACAACAGCGCCCGACCCAAAGACCTTTTACAAACTACGAGAAGAGTCATCCTATGTCGGTCGGGATATATCTTACCAAGAGCACCCCCAGCCCGAGGCGTTTTAGACCGCTCGGGAAAAAACAGGACGGGATGGAAAGTCCTTGTCATTCGGGCTTCGATTCCGACCGCCCAGCTGTCATTATCCACGCCACGTGTCGGTTTGCAGACATCTTGGGATCTGTAACGGTCATTTCACGCAAGTGGACGATTTCCTGCCAAAACTTCTTATATAAATAGTCCTTCCTGAGGCTCATTTCAACTTTTAAAACTCTGTGAAAATCGGTCGGAGCTTCTCGAACAAGCAACACTGTAGATCGGTCGAGCAGCATACTTCTTAACTTCCCGGCAAGCTTTACTTATTGGTAAGTTGTTTCCTTTTCCTTCTTTTTACTTTCTTTTTAACTCTTTCCTTTATTCCACATATAACGGCCGACCCTGGCAACTCACTAACCCCGACCAAATATAACCGACCCCTTCCGCTGAACCGGCCATCTCCTTTATGAAGGGGATATGTCAGACTCGGACAGCCAGAACGTCTCGGGAGCAGACTATGACAACACGATCGAGGAAGATAGCGAAGAAACACTGATAGAAGAGTCTTCCCCCGAAGTAACTCAGGTTGCTCGACATCCGAGCAAAATTCCCGAGCGGACAAACTCTTCTAGCTCAGAAAGCTCGTCCAGCTCGAGCGGTTCAAGTAGCGACAGTGGTAGCAGCGGTAGCACCTCGATAAGCGGTCGTGAGTCTCCGTCTCCTCACGTTCGAGAAACGCCTACGCGCACCATTGGGCCCGAACACGAAGCCCATGGCTCTCCTCACGTCTGGGAAACTTCCCACGATTTGGCTGGCGAAGGTCCAAGCCAAGCGGCACCTGCAGAGGTCGAGTACGTCTTCCTCAATAGCGAGAGAGTCGACCATCAAGAATGCCTACTGACGACCCACGAAGCGGCAAAGATTTCCGCAAGGCTAAGCGGTCGGCCAAAATTCGACACCCGTAGGAGCTTAGGAGGGATTAAAGAACGTCACCAGGGGAAATGGATCGGGATGCACTTCGATTCGTTGCAAGACCCGATCACGTTCCCTTTTTCTGGCCTACTGACCGCCTTCTTAGGCTACTATCGGGTCCTACCAGCTCAGATATGCCCGAACGCCCAACGCATCCTAGCATGCTTCCCGCAGATCTGCGCTCAGCACAGCGTTACGTGCTCGATGGAACTTTTTAATTACATGTACACGGTCAAACCCTTAGCAGCCAAATATGGTGCCAGATTTCTGATGATCCAGTCCCGGGATCATCTTTGCTCGATTGAGGACCTTCCCGGGAACAACAGAGGGTGGAAGAATAAAATTTTATCAGTCGAGTACGACCCATGGATTCTACCGGTTGACCGGAAATGGGGGACACATTACAGGAAGCAAGTGCAATCACCCGCCACTCGGGCCCTCCGCGAAGCGACCTTCCGTATCTCGTGTGAGTATTACGAGTATAAGATCTTCCGATCGCGGGAGGCTTACGACAATGCCCGATTGCCGCCGCCCCGATACGATCAAGAGATGAAATATAAACCTCAACCGATAGGCGTATCGATTGCTGTAGCGGCGCCTCAAGCCGAGCCGACCAACGAAGGTCTAACAATAACTATACTTTCCCAATTTCATGCTGATCGCTTATTATTTTTAACTTTGTGGTTTATGATTGTAGAGATGGTTCCAATTCGCGGTTTCCCGAGTGCCAGCGCACCCCGAGCCTCCCGAGCTAAGATGACGCTCGGGAAAAAGGCTACTGAGGCCGAAACATCGGTTGGGCAAGAGGTCGCCGATGCTTCCATCCCGACCGCACAACCACTCGGTGCCTCCACCACTCTTCAAACCGATATCACAACCGACCCGCTGGACCCCCGAGCCCCCGGACGAAAGGGCAAGAAAAAAGCGTCCGGGAAGGACGCCGAAGAGATGAGCGCTCTTAAGCGTCGTCGCAAGCAAAGCCCCCCGAGCGAAGTCGTCTCAGGTGGGGAACAATCTCTCCTCGCCCGGCTTAACAATCTGTAGCCGATCGGGGAGGATATGAGCAAGTGGACACCGGCACAAATAGCCGAGAAGGGTGCTCAAGACCTGGACGAGGTTTGTTTCATTACCTCTTTAACTTTATTTTCAACTTTAATCGCTCGAGCTAACTTATTATTTCTTGTAGGCATCCTGAGCGATCCAAAGCCTCCAATACTGGGCCTTGTTGGCCAACGAGGCCGAGGCCTTGAAAAAGGTCGCCGAGCGGCGAGGGAAGGAGAATGCCGAGCTTCAACAAGATCTGAAGGCGGCCAAGGACGCCCTAGTGATAGCGGAGAAAGCCTCTCGGGTTGTGCTAAATGAAGCGGGTGAACTAAAGACCAGACTGCGCAATCTGGAAGGGTTGGCCAAGTTTCTGTGTCGCGACGAACCTACAATCGACAAATTCTTCCGAGCCTTGATGAAGAATAAGCTCGGGGAAGAAAAGATTTGGACGTTCGGTCACTGGGCCTATGCGTCCGGCCAACGGGCGATGCGGGCAGAGTCCCGGTCGATAATGGAGGAGGTCTTCGAAGGCGAAGATCTGAAGGCGGTGTTAACCACGCTTCTGGATGAGATTCCCGATCTTGGCCCAACGCCCTTCACGAGCCGTCCGTCTCTGGAGCTGCAGCTGAGCCAAGAACCGGTGACAAGGATGAAGGGAAGGTCGTGTAGCCCCCGACCAACCCTAAAGCTTACTATTTTTGTAATTTTTGTAAACTTAACTCAATCGGGAGCCCGGTCCCGTTTGTATCGGGCAACTTTTTTATTTTTGAATGAATGGTCTAATTGTTTATCGCCTCTTTTAGTTTTTATCCTTTATGAACTTTTCAATCGATCAAGCGACCTCGAACGACCTTCTTTTAGTTTTTATCCTTTATGACTTTGTTAACCTTCCTAGCCCCCACACTGCCGGACACAAAAGGAACGATTGAGTGCGACAGTGTGCCACGAAGGTTGGTTGCTCGGGCATATCCCGATCACTGGCTTGACACGACCGTTACTGACGATGAGCATTACCGTTCGGGCGTTATAAATTGCCCGGGTGAGATGTAGAGGACTGTTATAGTCCGTTTGGTCTTTACCACTATCGGTCGGTGCCGAGTGAGCGGTGTACCTTTATCGGTTATAACTGATATTTTATATCCCGGTATAATCGGGTAAGTTTTAGCGACATTATGGTCGTTGGGCCTTCGCCCATCCCGATCGTTGATGCTGAGTCTTGGTCAGATATGTCACAATCAAAAGCAACTTCTGATATGGATTTAGCGAAACTACTTATTATTTACACATCTTAATATTCGATCAAGCCCCCGTACACAGACGAGCGAGCAATCATCGATCGACATTACATATTTCTCTCCCATTCGCAGACGGTCATACACAGACATTATTTTACATACACAACAAAAAACGGGCGTGCCCACTCGTAGGTTGAGCCCCCACCCCATCCAAACATACACATAAAATTTAATGGCGATACAACACCAAATTCTCAGAATTCCATGTTCCTTCAATGCTCTGACGGTCGTTGTTTCCAGTCGATAAGTGCCCGGGCGAACGACCGATGTGACTACATAAGGTCCCTCCCAATTCTGAGCTAATTTGCCTCCTTCCAGGGGTTGACTCGATTCTCGTTGTCGCAGCACATAATCCCCGACCTGAAAGTATTGCGGGTGAACCCGCACGTCTTTAGTGCTCTTCACCCTCTTTTGATATTCGGCCATGCGTCGAGCCGCGATTTCTCTCTTCTCTTCGACACCATCTAGATCCACAGCCAAAGAGTGCTCATTCTCTTCCACATTGTAAGATCGTTCTCTAGCCGTCGGGATCCACGCCTCAATTGGCAAACGGGCTTCAGTGCCGTGGATTAGAGCAAATGGTGTTTCCATTGTGGCCTTTCTAGGAGTCGTGCGATATGTCCAAAGTACATACTAGAGATCCTCGGCCCAACTACGACCAGCTGAGTGCAATTTCTTCTTCAGTCCTTCTAAGATGGTTCGATTGGCATTTTCCACTTGACCGTTTCCCTGTGGGTAAGCTACCCACGATCGGATCGAAGTTATCCCGATCGTCGCCAAGAAGTTCTGAAAATATTGGCTCACAAATTGTCGACCATTATCACTTATCAAGTGAACGGGAACACCAAACCGAGAGATGACAATCCGCCACAAAAACCTAGCACATTGCTGAGAAGTGATCGTGGCCAAGGGCTCGGCCTCGATCCATTTAGAAAAGTAATCGATTGCCACTATAACGAAGCGTCGTCGTCCGGACAACTGTGAAAAGGGCCCCACAATATCTGCACCCCATCAAGAGAATGGAATTGCAGTCGTGACCGGCTGATAGAATGTTGCCGGACGGTCAGGCGTCCGGGCATAGAGTTGACACGTTTCACAACTTCTAGCAAGCTTCTCGCAATCTAGTTGAATGGACGGGCAATAGTACCCGATCACCATTATGCGATGAGCAAGCGATCCACCTCCTTGGTGCGAAGAACATATGCCCGAGTGTAGCTCGTTCATGACTAGGTCCGCTTCAAAAGAATTTAAGCATCGCATCAAAGGACCACCATACGATCGTCTATACAAGCGTCCATCCTGCACTTGAAACCTTGGTGCCCTTAATTTCACCTTTCGAGCCTGTTGTGGGTCGTCCGGTAAACGGTCATGCTGTAGATATTCCATCAAGTCAGAGATCCAAGTTTCTTCAGCCGGTTGAATCGGGACGATCGATAATCGATGAATACTGTGCCTCGGGATCATCAAAATCCGAGCAATCTTAGACATATGCTCCGGAGCGTCCTGTGCCAACTTGGATAAGATATCTGCAGCGGCATTATTTAATTGGGGAACATGGCGGACAGCGTACGCTCAAAATAAGTTAAGCTTCTCCATTGCTAAGTCACGATAAGCTTGTATCCGTTCTCCATTGACCTCATATTCGCCAAGCTAAGGACCTACCCGACCACCAATGCTGAATCAGTCTGAGCCCGGATATAATCAGCCCCTAAATCCCGAGCGCATTGTAAACCGTTGATGAACGCCTCGTAATCTGCTTCGTTATTGGTCGGGGTAAACTGATACATCAAAGCGTAGTAGACTTTAAACCCCTCCGGGCTCGTGATCACAACTCCTCCGCCCGCTCCTTTTTTACTACTCGACCCATCAGTGGCCAGTGACCACCAAGTCGCCTCGGGATCTTCCGTGTCTGGAGGTTGAGTATCCCGAGCGGTACATTCGACCAGAAAATCTACCAGAGCCTGGCCTTTGATAGCCGGTCGTGGTCGGTATTCTATAGCGTACTGCGTTAGCATCAACGCCCATTTGACTAGGCGTCCGGAAGAAGAAGCGGTGCAGAGGACTGCTCCGATCGGCTGGTCGGTTAGAACGTGGATGAGTCCTTGGAAATAAGGAGCCAATTTCTTCGCCGTTGTATATAAGGCATAAACAATCTTTTCCAATTGGGAGTAACGAAGTTCCAGACCATGGAGTGCATGGCTCACATAGTAGACCGGTCGTTGAACGCCTTCCGGATCTGTCCTGCATAGCACAGCACTGACTGCCCGATCGGATATGGCAGAGTAAACGTTCAGCTCTTCCCCTGGCTCGGGTTTAGACAAGACGATCGGAGACATCAAATACTCTTTCAAATCGTCAAAAGCTGACCGACATTCATCATCCCACACAAATCCGTTGACCTTGCGTAACACTTTGAAGAAAGGTAAAGCGCGTTCTGCCAACCTCGAGAAGAATCGGCTCAAGGCTGCTAATCTCCCGGTCAGCTGTTGCACTTCCCGAACGGTTGTGGGCGGTTGCATGTCGAGGATTGTTTTTAACTTTGGCGGGATTTGGCTCAATCCCTCTCTTCGTTATCATATAACCCAGAAATTTTCCGGTCTATACAGCAAATGTGCACTTGGTTCGGGTTCAAACGCAGCTGGTACGTTCGCATAATTTGGAAGCACCATCGGAGATCCCGAGTATGGTCCGCTCGGTCCCGACTCTTCACAAGCATATCATCAATATAAGCCCCCATAGTTTGGCCTAGCAGGTCTTCAAAGAGCATGTTGATCATGCTCTGATATGTCGCTCCTGCATTGCGTAGGCCGAACGGCATAACCCGGTAGCAATATAAGCCATCGGGCGTGACGAACACCGTTTTGCTCTCGTCTTCATGGCTCATCATGATCTGATGATAACCCTTGAAAGCGTCCATGAAGCTCATCAGCTCGGCCCCGGCCGTTTCATCCACCCTCTGATGAATGCTTGGCAACGGGTAAGGGTCCTGCGGGCACGCCAATACACATTCTCCAGGATGGGGGCTTAGGGGCGAATGTGCCCGATCGCAGTCATCTTCTTCACCTCTTCTCGTACAAACTCCCGGCGATCCGAAGACAAATGTCTGGTCTTCTGCTTGATTGGTTTAGCGGCTGGACCTACAGCCAATCGGTGACATATGACAGTGCGGTCGATCCCAGGCATATCCTCTGGCCCCCATGCAAATATGTCGGCGAATTCTCGAAGGATTGCCAACACTTCCAATCTCAGCTCGGGGGTCAAAGCCCGACCGATATTGACCTTGCGGTTAGGCCTGTCTTTAGACAAAGGAACTTCTTCTATCTCTTCTGATGGCTCAGGTTGTTTTTTTCGGTCCTTACCGGCATCTTTGGCAATCGTATTTACCCGGGACGAGCTTGCGTCTCGCCGATTGACCGCTCGAGAATAACACTTCATCGCTGACTGAACCTCACCACGTAGAACTCCAACCCCAGCCGAGGTAGGAAATTTCATGCACAGGTGAGGCATAGATATAATTCCCCCGACCCTCATGATGGACGGGCGGCCTAGGATGGCGTTGTGGACGCAATGAAGATTTACCAAAAAAAATTCCATCTTCGTTTTGACCGATTTGGGCGGAATCCCCAGCTCGACTGGGAGGACGATTTTTCCTTCGGGGTGAATGGTATCCCCGGTAAATCCTGACAAGGGTACACTGACCGGAATCAGTTCCCATCGATCAAGCTTCAATTTCTCAAAGACGTCCAAATAAAGAACATTTACGCTACTCCCAGTATCCACCATCACTCTTTGTACGTCGACTCCCATGATGTCGATCATAAAAATGAGTGTTTCCATTCCGGTATCTCCGCTCTCGGGCTGATCTTCAAGAGCAAAAGTAATTGGTTCCATTTTCTGCCTCTTACCAATTTCCCGGGAGTCGACGATCGCCACCGGGCAAGGTTCTCGAGCTTGGGAAGCATCTTCCAGGCCCCCGAATATGACATGAATAGTAGGTTTTAATGTTTGCCGACCGCCCAACTGGGGATTGGGATCCTTCCGGTCCTGGTCCGATCGATCAGGGCGATTAGAACGCCTGTGATCTTTTCTTTCAGCTGATCTTTTGTTCTCTTCCCTTTTCCCAACACACTTGTCTAACTTGCCCAACTGAAGTAAATCTTCCAACAATTGTTTCAGGTGTATACATTCTTCAGTATCATGCCCCGCACATCGATGATAAGCACAATGTTTCCACTTATCCTTCCCGTCCTGTCCAGGATGAGGTAGACAAATTAAATTGCAGGACTGGGCATATTGCATAGCTTCCGCAGCCGATTGGTACAACGCCTTGAAGTCCCCAGGCCGGGCACGGGATCGCGGGTGGTCCTCGACCATCCGGTGATCCGACCGACCAGAGGGCTTCCGGGACGACCCGACCTCTTGGGATCATTTGACAGCATTTGCCTCCCCAGCATTGGCATAATCCGTCACTCGACGAAGCGCTTCTTCATAGGTCGCAAGCGAGTGGAGTATGAAATCTTGGTATAAGTAGCAGGCTCTAAGGGAAATATGCAACATATGAATAGCCGTTAGGTCGTCCATGGGTTCGACCTCTCTCACCGCCGTTTTCCATTTAACCAGGAAGTCGGTCAGACTCTCTCCTTCCAACTGCTTAGCCTTTTTAAGATACATGTAAGGTTTCCGGATGACTTTGGAAGTTACAAACTTCCTATTGAACTTTGTTGCCAAGCTAGCAAAGCAAAAAATAGATCCTGGTTCTAACGTTCTGAACCACTCTGCTGCCCGACCAGAAAGCGTCGAGTAAAAGGCCCGACACATCACAGCATCGCTTATGCCCATCATCAACATATTCCCATAGTAAGTGTTGATATGGACTTCCGGGTCCGTCCGTCCATCGTATTCTTTGTTCCCGGGTATACGTAGATCGAGTGGGTAAGGTTGAGCCATAATCTCCGCCGTGAAGGGTGTCCGCAATAATGAAGCGATGTGATCAGAAGGAGGCCTCAGGGCATGCTCGTTTTGCCATCGAGTGAACTCTGCCCGGACGTCGTTTAACATTCCTCGGGTCTCATCTTGCTCAACCGTACGGGCTGGTTCCCGAGCCCGGCGTCGACAGTGCGCTTGAGGCCCACTATGTCCTGACGACCTTGCCTGGCTAGCCACTCGCATGGGAGAATCAACCGAGCGCCTATCTGGGTCCTGCGGTCCCAATCGTTGCCACATTGCTGGTCGGAGTCGCTGGAACGCACTCGCTCGATTATCTTCTGGTTCAGGTTCTTTTACCGCCTGGGTATGTATTTCCTGCCGTGGTTCCTCCATGACCTCGGCCCCCTGCGATCCCAACCTCGAGCGAGCCGAGCGCCTAGTCCGGGTACCGGGCTAAAGCTCGGGCTCGGTCGCATTGTCGGTTGGTTCGGGAGAGCAGAAGCTGGAGCCGTGTACGCATGCTTGTAAGGCGGATAATACATCGGTGTTCCTGGCCAACAACCATATTGGGGAGGTGGTACTGGATATGGGTAATGTCCCAGAAACGGATATTGTTGACCGGGTGTCGGATACGTCGGTTGAATGTAATTGATCGGGTTAGGAGCTACCGATTGAGGAGGTGAGAGGTTGAGATTCAGGTTGACTGTCTGACCCGGGTGCTGTGTGTAGTTGTGGTCGGATGAGCTAGCTTCTTCGTCCTCCGGTGCTTGATACATGAACGGATACATGATGATTGAAGTCAGATACGCGTCTACAATGACTTTTCGTACCGGTTCCCACAGACGGCGCCAAAATGATAGTACTAATACCCACGTGTTAGCGGCCTAAGTACTGAATGAGAACAAATAGTAGTAATAAGGGTATTTTATTAATAAGAAGGTGACCTAATACAATCTAAATGACTATTCCGAGGGCCGACTGACTGCGGTCGGGCAGCTCTGTAAATAGCCTATTGATCGTTCCAAAAGTCCCCATCACGTAACATCCACGCGTCTTCCGCGGCGGATATTTATAGCCTTTGGCCGGAGACAAACCTCCGGCCTATCGGCATGTAATCCACGTAACATCCACGCGTCTCCACCCGGCAAGCCTTCGCTGTCAACGCATAACATAGCCATGCACCTTTCTCCAACATCTCTGTCTCTTTGTAAAGTAAAGGCACGGTAATCGGGTGATAACATCGATCGGGAAGTCTATCGGTCGGACCCGACCGCCTTGTCACAACAGTGCCCGACCCAAAGACCTTTTACAAACTACGAGAAGAGCCATCCTATGTCGGTCGGAATAGATCCCACCAATCATAATAAATAGTATAATTACAATTAAACATGGGTCGTTGGATTATAACAATAAATTTTTTATAATATATATATTAACAAAATAAATTATTATGTTAAATTAAGTTAATACTTACACAAATAGTAGTATAATTACAATTAATTCATTCAGATATGGAGGAGGAAAAAAGTAATGGCCCGTTTGGTTCACAGAATAAATTTAGAGGGAATATGAATGGTATTCCATAGGGAATGAAATAGGTAAGGAATAAAATATAAATTGTACTCTGTTGTTTGGTTCGCTGAAGGAATAGACATTGGGAATTGTATTTCAATATTTTTATTTTTTTTTTGAAAACCAAAGGAACTTCCATTAACGCAAATGTTCAATACAAGAAGGAAATGAAATCAACCAACAAGAAGAACCAGTCTGAGAACGAGTAGCTCTTGCCAAAGCATGAGCAAACCTATTCACTGATCTTGAAACATAATGAAATGACACTAAATCAAAGTGTCGTTGGAAAGATCGGCACTCACGAATAACACAACCTGCATATGATAGATCCTGAGATGTGCCATTTAGCAGCCTACAAACATTCTTGCAATCAGAATAGATGATTACCTTTGTGAGACCCAACTCCTTAACCCAAGATAAAGCTTCCTTCACCGCTAGAGCTTCAGCTAAATGAACATCACTCAAACAACGGATTGGGCCATTTTTAACTGCTACGAATTCCCCATTACTATCCACCACAAAGACCCCAAAGTAAGCTTCATCAGTATCACCAAAAACCGTGGCATCAACATAAATATTCATAGTACCTGGACTATCACCTGGTAAAGTATTAATGTTCTGTCCATGCATTTCTTCACTTTCTACCAAAGTTGCCTCTCCCTGCCATTCCACAAAAGTATTAGCCACCTCATTTTGTATTAAGGATGGTTGCCAAACTTTATTATTCCATACCAATTCATTACGGCCCTTCCAGATGCACCAGCAAATGAGGACACATTTCATCACCAAAGTACTATCACCACACGTTAGACACCTTGAGAACCATGCAGCAAAATCGTCATCTTCACTAGGTAGAGGACATTTCACATTTGCCATAGAGATTGCACATGATTGCAATCAGCCATAAGATGCAGGATTGTCTCCGGTTAGAGACCACATAAAGGGCAGCTTAAATCAACATTCACCCGACGAGATGCAAGCGACGCCATGGTTGGCAAAACTCCATGAATACAACGCCAAATAAAATTCTGAACCTTTGGAGGAATCTTTAGCTTCCAAATCAAACCCCATACAGTGGAGTTTGGAATGGCCACCTCCATCATATTCAGCAATCTGTAACCATGTTTCACTGAGTACAATCCCTTCATATCATCTCTCCAGCTCCAACTGTCCTCAAACTGCACTACAACTGGTAGCTTAAGAATCAAGTTTACATCACGGTCCTCAAATAGATCATTTAGGAGTTCAATATTCCAATCTTTCGTCTCAGGGTGAATTAAAGCACTCACCATAATGTTGTCATTCTGAATAGTGCTAACTGAATGTACATACGGATCTTCCCTATCAGGAAGCCAGGGATGATGCCAAATAGAGGTCGATTCACCATTACCAATTCTTTTAAAACACCCCTTACGCAGAAGATCTTAACCTGCCAATATAGAACGCCAACAATAGCTTGGATTGGCTCCAATATTAGCATTCAAAAAATCTCCTTGAGGATCGTGCCTTTAGAATTCGAGCCACCAAAGACAATGGATTAGTTAGCAACCGCCACCCTTGCTTTGCCAGTAAAGCAATATTAAACCTATTAAGATGTTTAAATCCCAAACCACCACCTGTTTTCGGTTTACACATACGTCTCCAAGCCATCCACCGAATCCCACCCCCTCCAGTAGTACGGGATTCCCACCAGAACTGATTCATGATTCACTCCAGATGTTCACAAAATGTAGATGGGAGGTAGTAAATACTCATAGTGTACGTCGGAAGAGCCTGCACAACACTTTTGAGCAACACTTCTTTCCCGGCCCGTGTAAGGATCCTTTAATGTCACCCACCTAACCGCTGTCTCAATTTAGTCTCAATATATGAAAATACTTGCTTCTTGTTACGCCCAATCCCCATGGGAAGACCTAGATAGGTTCCAAGATTATCAACCGCAATAACATTTAGGACAGAAGTTATAGCATATCTAAGATCTCCTCGTGTATTACGACTAAAGAGCACACAAGATTTACCAAAGTTCACCGATTGTCCCGACATAGCTTCATAAGAACTAAGACAATCCTTAATCGCACTAGCTTCTTGAGACGTTGCTTTAAAGAACAACAGACTGTCGTCGGCAAAGAAAAGGTGAGAGATACCGGGCGCCCCTCTTGCCACAATGCAAGGAGATATTAAACGGTTTTGAGCTGCCGTGGATAACAAATGTGCCAACCCTTTCGCACACAGAAGAAATAGATATGGGGACAGTGGGTCCCCCTATCTCAGACCTCTCGATGGAATTATAAAGTCGGTAAGAAAGCCATTTAAACCAACCTTATACCGACCGTCGTAACACAGTGCATAATAAGGGAAATCCACATTTGATCAAACCCCAACCGAACCATCATGTTCTCAAGGAAATGCCACTCCATCTTATCATAAGCTTTTGCCATGTCAAGCTTTAGAGCACACCAACCAGTATTTCCTTCACGTTTTCGGTTAAGAAAATGAATAACCTCCGACGCTATAAGAACATTATCAGTGATAAGTCGCCCGGGGATAAAAGCACTCTGAGGAGCTGAAATCAATTTATCCAATACCTCTTTAAACCTGTTAGCCAACATCTTAGATAAGATCTTATAAGTAACGTTGCATAAGGCAATCGGCCGTAAATCACCCATATATGTAGGTACTACCTTCTTTGGGATTAGGGTAACATAGGCATCATTCATTCCAGTCGGCCATATTCCTCCATTTACACAACCTAGAATAAAGTGAACCACATCCTCTCCAATCTCCTTCCAAAAGTGCTGAAAAAAGGCCAGACTAAAACCATCCGGACCAGGGGATTTATCCGGGGCTATAGAGAATAGTGAATCTTTGACATCATCAGCCGTAAAAGGTCGTAACAACAGTTCATTATCCAAATCTGAAATTCTGGGGGAGAGATTATCCAATAAAGAATTAATAGCCACACCTCTAGAAGTGAAGATGTCATTATAATACCTTGAAATCAAATCCAACAGTGCCTGACCCTCAACAAAATCATCATTTTCATTTTTGAGCTTGGTAATCGTATTTTTCCGTTTGCGCGATGAGGCATACTGGTGAAAATATTTGGTGTTCCTATCTCCTTGTTTTAACCAGTATTGTTTTGCTCTTTGACGCCATATGGATTGCTGCTGATCATATAGTAAATTCAATTTTGCCGTCAATTCACGAAAACGGAGCATGGAGGCCTCATCACGTTGCTCTCTTAATCCAGAAAGGCAAATTTGTAATTGAGCAATTTCCTTATCAATTCTTTGTACTAAACTGCCTCCCCACTGCTTTAATGACGCTCCACAAAGATCCAGTCGTGTAGGTAGTGCATCACCTATGGATTCATTCCAGGACCTGAGAACAATATCCTTACAGCCCACATCTTTGAGCCATGCATTCTCAAATAAAAACCTTCTCCGTTGTCGACCTAGTCTAGGGCCCTCCAACTCTAAAAAGAGTGCCGTATGGTCAGAGGTAATAACATCTAGATTTCGAACCACAGCTTGAGGAAACATAGAGCACCAATCCACTCCCGCCACTGCCCTATCAAGCCGTTCCTCTACCCAATTCTCTGTTCCTTTACCTCGTTGCCAAGTAAATTTCCTCCCCTTCATACCTAAATCAAAAAGGTGGCAATCCTCCAATGCACGATTGAGACCCTCCATTAAAGCCGGGGGATGGGGATGCCTTCCACGCTTCTCGCAAGGGGCCATAATATCATTAAAATCACCCATGACAAGCCACGGGAGGGAAGACTTTGGTAAAAGTGAACGTAATAAATCCCACGACTGCTGCCTTCTACTTCTTTCAGGAAATCCATAAAAACCCGTCAACCTCCAAGCATTGCTACCAAGTAGCCTTACTTGAATGTCAATGTGATTTTTTGAAAAACTAATAAGGTTGGCAATATCTTTGTCTCTCCACAGTAACGCTAGACCCCCTCTACTTCCTCCTCCATCAACATAAAATAAACCATCAAATTGTAACTTACGTCGCAGTTGCTCAGCATGTTTCCGTCGAACTTTTGTCTCCATCAAGAAAATGAACATAGGCTTCAACTTGGCCTCAAGTGCCAAGACTTCTCGAACTGTACGTGGATTGCCCAATCCACGACAGTTCCAACTCAAGGTACTCATTGTGTCGGGCGGGTCTGGCCATCTCCAGAACCCGCCAATAGCAAGTTTTTTGACTGGTTATCTTCCAGAAGCATAAGTGAGCAGTCATCATTATTGCCTTCCATTTCAGTTCGCCTTCTCTTTTGGTCGACAACAGTAACCTCGTCATTATTGTCTGAAGCCGTGTTGATATTCAGAGAGAAAGTTGACGAACCAGGCATTGTATTGGTATCGTTAGAGATAACCATTGGGGAGGGTGTAGTGGCATGAACATGAGTAGCAGCATCAGACGTCACAGGTCGTGCACTAATACCGTCAGCAGCAATGATTTTGGACGATCCAGGAGCCGTCCACTTCTCCCGATCCGCCGTCACCTCCGGAGCAAGCCACTGATTATCATTAGTCACCTGTCTCCGAGAACCAGCCCTCAACCAAGCCCCATACGATTTGTCGCCCTGATGATTCTGATAGTGACGAGCCTTCACACAAAAACGATCCCCATGTCCAATGACACCACAAAGAAAGCAAAACGTTGGCAGACGCTCGTATCGAAAGTCAATCGTAGCCCACTCATTAGAACACTTTTTAAGCTTCATCCCCTTCTTTAGAGGACGAGAAACATCAAACTGAGCTCGTATTCTGAAATAGGAGCGCATAGTTCCGTCGAAATTTCTCTCATCATGCTTTACTAGCGTGCCAATTGTCCTTCCAACTGCTTCTAACACCCCTTCCGATCGGAAACCAATCGGCAAGCCATGGACCTGAACCCAGAACTCTACCATAGTGAGAGAGACAGACTCTGGATCCTCACCAGGTGCAACCCGACGCAGAAGAAGCAAATGTTGTTCATATGTCCACGGTCCATTATCAATCACACGTTGGACATCAAACTCATCAAAAAACCGAAAAAGATACACACGAGATTTAAGTTCGCTTACATTCATCCCCATGGATGGCCTCCAAACTTGTGATATTGTATCTCTGAAAAACTGGAATTTGACTGGACGATCTGCAACCAGTCTTCCCACAACATAATATTCCACCTGATTACTACCAGGGTTGATGGGCACATTCGTGAACTGGTGTACATCCTCATTATCATCCAGATCCACCAGGGTGAGGTCAGCTAGAGCGTTGATCATGCTAGAAGACGCCATGCAGTCGCCGTCGAGGAAGAAGAAACGGTGGCTTAAGACAGAAACCCTAAAAACTCTCAAAAACGGAAGAGAGAGAAAAGACAAAACTCGCGAATCAGCGAGAGGAAACTTTTGATTATTTGATTGTTATTGCGTTGTGAACTTAATTTTTCTTGTATTTCAATATTTAGTTGGTTAAGGAATAAGAATGGTATATATGTGTAAAAGACATAAATGCCCTTTAATAATAATAATAATAATATAATAATAATAATAATAATAATAATAATAATAATATTATTATTATTATTATTATTATTATTATTATTATTATTATTATTATTATTATTATTATTTGTAAAGGGCATTTAGTTTGTATCTTAAAGACAGCAAAAATGGCACATAGTCACTTGTTTGAGATTTGACAAAATTGAATTTTTATTGATTATATTTAAGCTTGAGTTCACTACTGGAAATTATGAAATTTTCGACCACCTGAAAGTGATCTTAAATCAAGTCGAAAGCCTTGTTCCGACCACTTTTGATATCCGGAAAAAATCTTTGTTGCTATTTCCGACCACTTTTTGGTATCAACTTG